CTGGCCACAGTGTTTGGTGGTCAGCAAACATTTACTTTGTGTGCTGCAAACTGCTTAACTTGCAATTTGTCTGAAAACATGAGCAATTTAAATCGTGGTCAGATAATTTTATCTATAACTGTATAACTAAAGATTTTTATGAACTTTAAATGCAAGTACAAATTAAAAAACATCCTACATGGTACATATTGTTGCATTTACATATTTTATGATTGTAAACCATAACCAATTTAAAACAAGTTATACAATGAGTACCTCTCTAAAACACATAGTTTATCAAAAAAAAATTTTTTTTTAAAAAAAAAAAAAAGGCGGGCAATAGCCCAAAAAGGAAGATGTATATAAAACCTGCAGTCAAATTACTTCAATACAGACATTGTCTTTTATAAATATTTTTGAAAATATTTTGTGGTTAAACAGTGTAACCGATGTTCCATTCTAGAAAATTATTTAATGACCTGTGTATTTTGTTGACTGTTATATAAAAAATCAAACATTTCATCGTATAATTAATAACAGATTAACTTTGCAATTAAAATAAGATCTTTTTTTTTTCAACATCTTCACTTCCAACAAGGCTGTCTTCCAGTATCGTCGAACTCTAATGTTGGCTGCAAGCAACCAACATTAGAGTTCGAAGATACTGGAAGAGAAAAGATGAAATTTGAAAAGCAGGATAATGATTAACAGATAACTTAAATCTTTAAAAGAAACTTGAAAAAAAATAAATTTGAAAATAAAGTTAGGAATAAAACTAATCAAATAGTAACAATTTGTAATCTTAAGTATTACAAATTGTTTAATAAATATGTGTTAAATTTTTTTTTACCTTTACCCAAGGATGATTCATAACCTCTTGTATAGTTATACGTTGAGAAGGTTCTGTTTTAAGAAGACTTTTTATCAAATCTTTTGCTAAAAAATAATTTTTTTATAGATATTCTATTTGGACAATTCAACTTATTTTTAAAATTTTTGTTCAAAAAAAAATTTATTTAAAAGTACCATTATTTGAAACTTTTTTCCATTCAGCATCAGGAAAGCTATATTGACCCTGTCTTATTCTTTTTTTCATGCCAGGTGATATTGCTGCTCCATGATTACTATAAAATGGAGGATATCCACACAATAAGATATATGTAATAACTCCTAATGACCACATGTCACATGATTTGTCATACTTCTCAGGTCCTAAAACTTCAGGCGCAACATAATAAGGTGTGTAACATGGTGTTTGCAGTGAAACACTGACAGTTTCTTTTGCAAAACCAAAGTCTGTCAATTTTAGTATGGCATTAGGTGCATTGCTGATATAAAGCAAATTCTCAGGCTAAAATAGAAAATAAAAATTAGCAATTCAAAGAAACTTTTATACCTTTTGTATATAACCCACATACATATGCATAACTGCTACTTTGGAAATAAAAAAAAAGGTTCCCCACTCGATTTTTTATAAGGGTCATAAAAATTGCTAAATTTTTTTCATTGAATTGGTTTTAATTTGATGTATATTAATATATTTTTCATTAACAGACGTTTTTTAGACATTGTCTAAAAAAGAAAAACCATCATTAGAAAAACCAGCTTAAATATGTATAACTATTGAAAAAAATTTTAAAAGTTTAAAAATGATAAAAAATCTCACAATATATATAACAGTATTCTTTACAGGGATGAATAAGAGATTTGTAGAGAATGGAATCAGGAATGAGATTATGACAAGCATGATAAAGAGAAGCAAACAGATGCTAACTTTGCAATGTATTGCATAAATATGCAATACACTGCAAATGGTTTCCATGAGAAGTCAGTAATGGATGATAATTTAAGAAGACATAAAGAAGAGGACTCATAAAGTGAGTTGCCATTCATCAATATAGGAAATATTAAATTCATTTAATGTATGTACATTCCTTGTATGTTCTACTCAGTTGTTGTATGACACTTAACTATGCCAATTCCTAAATATACCAGTCAATAAAACAAAAATAAAATAAAAACAATAAAATTGAAAAATTAAAACCATTTAAAAATAAAAACAAAGATTCTGCTTTAAAAAAAAAGATCTTTTAAAAAGTCTTTTTTTCTATTCAATTTCATTGGAAAAACAAAAAAAGAATCAAGTTATATATTGTTATAGGAACTAGTTTCATGGACAAAAATTTGTTGTCGAAAGAACAATTTTAATTTTCATTGTCAAGACGTACACAAAAATCATACTTAGTCTAACATGAAATTTTGTACTAATAATGATGTTATACTGAAGGTATGACACATCATCATTTAGTATTACAGAGGGTTTGAGTTTGGGTAGGTAAAATCAAGATATAAAGGATATTTATTACTTTAATAGTAAAATTAATTGTAAATTGGTTAGATGTTCACAACCATTGACATTTTTCTTTAATGCATGTCAAGTAGGGACAGTTCCATGTGAAATGAACCAGGGCATGCAATCCTAAGTTTCAGATGTTGCTGATTTTTACATCACCTGAAGATTTTAACAAGTTATGAACTTCCCCAAAATTTTATCATCTAATTCCGAACAGTTTCAAAGATGTAATTATTTTAACTTTTCCTAGAACCAACAAAAACCTGCCATTTTAAAAAATAGCCTTGGTTTTTGTTTCTGTTCTGTATGGAATGGAAAGCTGAATATATGTACACATATTTTGAGGCATGGAATCCAATAAAACAACTAAAAATATTTAAAAACAAGTATAACACTTAATTATTTAAAAGAAAAAAAAAAATATTAGTACTTTTAGTTGCTTAATACACGGAAGTTGATGTTTATTAATTTTCAGTAAATTTCCCCACCCTGAGCTAATCAAGATCCCCTCTCTAGGGTTTCTGGTTTGAATATATTCGTAACCGATATTTGCAAATAATTGCTCAAAATTCACTATTCATTATTTGCGAATTGTTGCCAATAATTAGCAAATAATTTTTTTTTTTTTTTTTTTTTTCGATTTTTTGTGAAAAAATTAATTGGTTCCATCCCATTATGCATAATTCCTGTTATGGATAATTCCTGTCAGGAATTATGCATAACAGGAATTATGCATAATGGGAAGACATAATGTTTTTAATGAATTTTGTAACAATCCGATGTTTTCCGTTTTTTTCCCTGTTAATTTGAATAAATTAAACTCTTGTCTAAGTTGATCAAAGCCAGTTGAACTTTGTTTTTCTTCGGTTGCTTTTGTGATAAATGAACTCAATTCATCTAAAAGACTGGCAAATTCATTTTCAGGGGGATGTAGTTAACTATAACTTCATTACTTTGGTTGCCAACATCATTGTTTTCAAGAGGATATAAGCAATTTAAAAGTTCAATAGCACCACCCACCATTTGACGTGATTGTGTGGATGGGGGGGGGGGGGTGGGCGTATGTAAATTGCATCAACTTAATCAAATCATCATTAATTCTGATTTTCACTCTTTTGAGAAATCATTCTGATAAATCAGTTCCAATATCTGACAATTTTTTGTACAAAAAATTAATAGCGCCTTCAGTTGTAAGTAAATTTGCATCTGAGCGACTTAACACTTCAACAGTTAGTTTTATTGGTTTTAATTCTTCCACAAGATTAGCGTAAAAATCAAAATCTAAGCTATCGTACAGACAAATACTATCTAAATCTTCAAGTGCATTTTTTATACTATTTTGAAGTAATAATGCGCGCTCTAACATCGTATCAATGGAATTCCAACGCATTTTCACATCTAGTAACAATTCCAACGGTTTTATATATTGTTCGAGTACGTGTTGTTGTAGTACATTGTAGTACAACAGCCGATTTATTTAAGTATTTAACTACTTTACATAGTGGTTCCAGATTTAATTTCATTAAAGATGACAAATTAAGTGATGATGACTGGTTATCAATAGCCATATCATCATTGGACTCATCATTTTCATCATCAGTAGAATCTGGAGACGACTCGGAGGTTGTTATCAACAACCTCCGAGTTTTCAGTCATAACGTCAATAACAGCCAAATGTAACGCGTAATTATAACACAGTTGGGTGATTGTAGGTGATTTTCTGCCTAATTTTACCATAACAGCGGCGCCATCCGTTGTGCAAGCCACAATATCAGTATCAAAATTGATGTCAAACGATCTTAGATGTTCACGAACTATCATTTGCAATGTTTTTGCATCTGCACGACGAGGAATACGAACCAAACCAAGATTAAAAAAATCTCCATCATGTGTATATTTATATTCAAAATGAATTTTTCGTTGTTCGCAAGCATACTTTTCAATTTTTGTTTCAACTCTGTTTTAGTTGCTTCGTAAAAATTATGAACTAATGTCATTACATCGGAAAGATTTTTTGGCAACACTTTTCCTGATTCGCCAATTTTCTGACGTATGAAACCTGATTTAGTTATCACATTAATTGAAAATCCATCTTAAGCTGCTAGTTTTGCAACAATCTCTTCTAAAGATTCTTTTTTGATAAAACCTTGAAAAGATTCATTATTTGTTTTTTTACTTGAGGTGATTGGCTTTCTGACTCCTGCAAATCCAAATCAATTTTGTGTTTCAGAAACAAGTGATTTTTCATGCTGCTTGTTCTTATTCCTGTATACGACAATTTTGTATTACATTCCTTGCATACAGTTTTTGTTTTGTCATTTGGATCTAATGTAAAGTGTTTCCATACCTTTGATTTGCTTTTACTTGAATTCATTTTTGTACTGAAAAAAATGCACAATTTTCAGCAAAATAAAATATTTTTTTATTATATTGCAATCAACTCAAATCGAAAAATTTACGTGAAGTGAAATCATAAGATTTGCGTATACATGCTTCTACTGTGAAGCAATGTATATTTATATACAATGATACAACGTGAAAAACATGTATTTGATTTTGTACAAGAAATTTTTAACAATTAAATTTGAATTATGTATAAAATAAAATATAATTGAATTTTGATTCTAGAACAATAATTACGTAATTACAACTTTCAATTCTTGTAATTCTAACAGGAATTCTAAAAAATAATTTTTTTCATATTAATCGTCTGTATTTTTTGTCTGTATTTTCTAAGAGAATATATAACCGTAAATAACCGTAAGCTTCATTCGCTGGGCATGTATGTGTACTTAAGTATCCCCGCTAAATTTTGAATTAAAAAATTTTATCCGTTTTTAATTCCCAACTATAAGTTTTATTTAATTTATAATACGAAAACACGAATAATAGAATAGTTATTGAAAAAAACAACCAAAATTAAAAAAAAAACTACAAAAACGAAACTATTCAAATATTATTTGTTATTTGCGAATAGTAAGGTTCTACTAACCAATATTTGCAAATAGTAAAAAGCTCGAATAATCAGAAACCCTACCCCTCTCTCCATTAAATTTTACTTGTTGCTAACAATAACATTATTTTCTAAACTAAAAAATTTTTGGTTATTATTTTCTAACATTTGAAACCAGTTTAGTTCTTAAAAATTAGAAAATATAAACTCATATAAATTAAAATAAAAATTCCCACCCACCTGTTTATTAAGATCTACCTTCCTTCTTTATCTCCCCCCCATTTATTACACCTGGACAAAAATATTAAATTTAACTTGTTTTATAATTATTTCTCTTTTTTATATATTATTATTATATAAACTTTTTTATAATTATTTCTCCTCCTTTAGATACAACTTCCTTTCCAACTCTAAAAATAATTGAAGAAGATTGTGCAAAATTAGAAACATCACCTCCTAAAATTGCAATAATACTTGCCTCTGTTGCAGTAAGTAGCCTAATAGGAAGTCCCTTGCCTATTGCTGCAAGAACTGTTTTCTTCAAAATATTTTTTAGGTAAAAAACAGAAGTAGATTTTTCATATCATACCTGACTATGAATATGCTACATATTCCTAGTCAGGATATAATATTATATGAATTATCTTTTAGGCTTGATTTTATAAACTATTAAATGCTAAATTAAATAATAAATGTTCCATTATATAAAACTTAATGTAGCACATGTAGAAAGTGATTAAATAATAAATGCAAAAAAAGTGAAACAACCTTATTAAATAATGATACTTTTTACCAATAGTTGTCTTAACAAATTGTTAGTCACTGGTCAATTAAAAAACAATTGTTTATTGTTAATTAAAATTAAATTAGTCAAAACTTGTTTAGTATAGTAATAAAAATTTAAAGAACTAAAGTTTAAGTTTTTGAATGGTGTCATCAGTGCTGTCAAACTGATTCTTTTTGAAATGACAAATAATTTTTTTGTTAGTGAAGCAACAAGGTTTTCCACCCTTATGTTTCATTTATGCAATAAATGGGGCAGCCA